GCCCGACGCCGCTCCGAGCCCGCTGCGCATGCGCGGGGCACGGGAGGGGCCGGCGGGGGAACGGCGGCGGCGCGGCCGCTCCGCGCGTGCGCGGGGGGAGGGCGGGGAGCGGCGGGGGTGGAACGGTCGCGCGTGCGCAATGGTGGGGGGGAGAGTCTGGAACGGGGAGGGGGAACTGACCCTCTGGGGAGAACCCCGAGGTGAGGGGAGCCCTCGGGGGAGCCCCTTGGCATCAGGGGAAGCGGGACGGCCCTTCACGGGGAGCCCCCAGGGAAGCCCCCTTGATGGTCCATCCTGGGAGACCTCCAGGATGAGAGAAGTTCGTCCCAGGAGCCCACCGCGGTGGGGGGAGCTGGGGTGGTCCCTAAGGGGAACCCTCGGCAATGAGGGGAGTGAGGATGGTCCCCCGGGGAGACCCCGGGGTGAGGGAGCCGGGATGGACCCACAGGGGAGCCGTCGGCAGTGAGAGGAGCCGGGATGGGGGTCCCGCGGTGAGGGGAGCAGAGACGGCCCCTCAGGGGAGCCCCCAGGATCACGGAGGTCCCCGGGGGGAGGGCGGCAGCACAGGTTGCCCCCAGCTCTGGTGGCCGGGACTGTGCTAGAACCGGCTGGCCCGGGGCTGGGGTTTGACGGCCCCCCGCGGGTCAGGGCCGGCTCCATCCCCCTTCAAGGCTCTGCCATGGAAACCCACGCGGCAGAGCTGTCATCACATCCACTGGTGAACATTGTCCAAAATAACGGGCTATTTCCAAATAAACAAAATGGAAACGCCAAAGGAGCGTCAGTAGTGCACTGTCGTTGACACAGACATGGCAAATGCCTTAAGAAATGAGTGCCCCCGATGTTGGGAATGGGGAGGACACAAGCACTGAGAAGTTCTTGTGAGTGGGTTTGGGAGCCCCTTTCCCTGACAAGGTGTAAGAAGGGGGAGGAGGTAAGGAAAAGTGTCCAATTACTTTTCCAAAGTGTCCAAATTCTGCTTTGAAGGTGGGGAAGGGATGAGGAAGCAAGAGGGGTTGTGTGTGAGTGAATGGAGGTGCCAGGAGAGTGCTTAAGCTGTGAAAAATGGAGGAGGAAGGAGCTGTGAACAGCTGCCGCATGCCTCTGGCGCCGCATGGGCTCCGGTTTCCCTGTGGCACTAAAAGGTTGGCTCCCGTCCTTCCCACTGCCAGCTCCTGTGCCAGTCCACTCTCAGATTCCGGCAAAATCTCCCTCCAAAAACACTTGGCAGCTTCCATAAACTCGCTGTAGCCCAAAAGCCATTGACCAGCCCTCAAGCCCCGTGCCCTGGCAGCTGGTTGGATACCATGGGACCGACACCCCAGTGCCTTCACCAGGTGTCTGTTTGCACTGCCGTGCTTTGACACTGCTGTGCTGGTTCCTGGAGCTTCATCCCACGGTGCTCCTGTGACACCACCGTGCTGGTTCCCGGAGCTCTTTTCCATTGTGCTCCCCACCCACAGGGTGCCCGGACAGTGCCCGTGGGGTCAGGGTGAGAGGCGTGTGGCGTTCCTGGTTCCACAGCCCTGGCAGAGCGGGGGCAGCTGCGTGGTGTGTGGTCAGTGGCATTTGAAGTCAGTTTCTCTTTCATCCCAGATGAGCTGCTTTAATCCCGGAGCTGTCCTGGCTTTTCCTCTCCTCTGCTTGACTTCACCCACGGTGAGAGGCCACGGAGTGCAAGCACATCTTCAGATTTCAGCACTTTCTGTCAGCCAGTGCACCCGGAGAGCACCTGCCCAAGGTAAGCCATGGAGCTCTCCAAGACCCTTCCCTGGGCAGTGACAACTGGGATGTAGCCAACCCGTTCTGCGGGAACACTCGTTATGGCACACCCAGTTCTGCTGCTGTTATGGGGAGTTCAGCATTGCTCACCCTTACATTGTTCACTTGCTTCAAGCCAGGCATGAGTGTCATCCCAAGTTAAAAATCTTCCAAAGGGGTTTGCTGTGATCACTGCGTCCTTCAGCAAAATGTCCAGGGATGGGGCAGCCACAGCTTCTCTGGGCAACCTGTGCCAGGGCCTCACCACCCTCACGGAGAAGGATTTCTTCCCAATATCCCATCTAACCCTGCCCTCTGGCAGTGGGAAGCCATTGCCCTTGTCCTGTCGCTCCAGGTCCTTGTCCAAAGTCTCTCTCCAGCTCTTTGTGCACCAGTCATACTCAGGATAGCTGCAGGGAAAGGCTTCCCCCTTTGGCAATCTCCTGCCTGCCAGCTCCTGGAGGGAAGGGGGATTCACCTGTGCCATGCAGGGATAGCCTTGCCCAGCAAGGGAAGAATGTCTGTCCTGTGAGAGAAGAGAGAGCTACGCTTACACCAGCACTACAAACCCAAACCATTTGGGAAGCATCCAGGGAAAACTATGCAAGACTGTGCTATATTCACGTCCTGTCTGAGTGATGAGGGAGACAGAGGCTCACAGAGAAGGTGCCACCAACAGATGGGCTGGGGGGGGGGAAGGAAAACAGATCTTAGTCCTGAAAGGGGAGTGATGAGACATAGAGCAATCAGGGATGGAGCAGGTGCCTTAGAGGAGCACGGGAATTCATGGCTGTGAAGGGCACAGCAGCACCAGCTCCACGACTGTTGCTGAAGGGTGTTTGGCTGTGAAGAGCTTTGCAGAGTCCCAGGAAGGGCAGAGCTGGGAGAGCAAAAATGGCAACGTGGAATGGGAGTAAAAGTAGAGAAAAAAAAAGGACTCCTGGTGCTCTGTGGAGTGATGCAGGAGCAGCCTGGCTGTGCAATCCTGCCTGTGCTCACCCAGCCTGGGGTGAACTTTCAAAGCACAGCTCTGATAACAGCTGGAAAGGAGGGAGGCTGGGGGTGACATGGAAAGGGGACAGGTCCGGGTGCTCCCAGCACTCTGAGAGGGGTAGGCAATGGGCAAAGGCCAAATTTGAAGAAAGAATTAATAATCTGGTTTGAGGGAGAAGAGGGCAGTCCTGGACAATTAGAATTTTAATGACTAAATACAACTAGTCCAGGGATCAGCACGGAGCAATGGGACTGGGGGGAATAACCACACAGAGACAGGACAGCAAGGCACAGATACAAGGTTTTCTGGGATCCAGTCAGAGCCATAAACTCCTCATGTGAGGCCCAGCATGTGGAAAAGCCGTGGGAGCAGCAGCAGTGGTTCTGTGTCATTGATCACAAAGTTCCTCTCCCTGCAGGAGCAGCCGTAGAGCAGCACATGTGAGGGGGAAGGAGCCTAAACCAGGATCGTGGGGACAAATTAGCAGGTGCCTGTGGAATATTGCTCACCCCGTCTGCGATTCCAGAGCCTACGTAGGTGTTTTATTTTCCAATGGTGTTAGAAAGACTGTCAGAAAATAATTAGGCTCTGTCAACAGTTCCCCTATTCCAAGATTACGACTTCCTGACTCATTAGAGCTGCCGAGGTTGGCAGGAAACTTGTTTTATAGTAATTTCTGTTGGCGGTGCCCCTGGAGAAGAGACAACACGGTGCGTGTGACACTGGCGTGTGACACCAGCGTGTGACACTGGGGTGTGACACCAGCATTGGCCTCGGCTTCACCTCATGATGGAGCTGCCGGGGCCATCAGGTTGCCCAGGGCAGTTACTGCTGGCAGGAGACACTGTCCCCTCTCCGTCCTCGTGCTGGGGACAGGGAACAGGACACCTGATGCTGGGCAAGGTCCAGCTGTAGGACCAGGAGCTGGTACATGGGACTTGCCCATGTCATGAATATTTGCCTGGTTCGTGAGGGTTTTAAAAATAAAGGGGACACATAAATCCCATCAAAGAAAAGGGTCTTCCCATTCAATTCCGGGAAAAAAGCCCCTGCAGCATCCCTGTCTGAGAGCGGCAGCTGTGATGTGCAAACACGAGTTGGCTGTGCCAGGACTATTCTGGGGCCTGTTGCCCCCTAATTTTACCATCTCTGTCCCAGACACTCTGCAAATCCTCTTCAGTGCTCAGAGAAGTGACCCCGCATTCGGTACTGACCCTGCAGAACTTGGAGGCAGATTTAAAAAGAGTTCCGAAATCTTCTGTTTATTTCTGTGAATTTTGGATCCAATTCCTCTAGATCAAAGATAAATAAAGTTTACAGTGAGACAGTACTTGCCAAGAACACAATTTCCAACCTTCCTCCTCAAAATCTCTACTTCCCACTCAGTTCATGCCCTTTTTCCCTACATTTTCCCCACATATTTCAGCTGAAATCCAGGACCACAGCAGACGGTTCCCACTGACTTTTCCATGCCCTTTCCCCGTGTCAGGACCTTGCTGATCTCCTGCTCCTTCCTGGGATGCTCTGACCAGGTACCATTTCCCTGAGGCTGCAGCAGCTACTGTGACATCCATAATTAGGCAAGTTTAAGAGCCAGATTCTGCTGACAGTCACAGAAGCAGGATGTTACATTCTTCTATAAGCAGACATGTAAATAAGAGACATATTCCATGGTCTCTCTGTCATCTATCCATGGAAAACAACCCTCCTACATGCTGCTCTTGCAGAGGCGTCAGTGTGGGAGTCCCCAGAGCGCTGCCAGAGTGTGGCTATGCTCTGGGGGCACAAGGTGATGGTGCCACCGTCACACACCATGTGGCTTCTTCCCGGGCAAAACCTGCACCCATGGCCACTCTGCCATTTGCTCATGGCACTTCCTAAGATTGGGATTATCAGGATTAAGCAGGGAGCCCTCACAGCTGCCCTGCTGTGGTTGTTAAAACTCCCATTGTAATTACAGCATGGAATCTTGTATGGAATCAGAACTGATGTGTGGCTTGCACAGTGCTTAGCCCCAAACTGACACTTCCCCAACATCCTGCAGGGACCACCATGTGGCTCAGCCCCACATGCTGCAGACCATCCTTGGCACAGGCTCAGCATCAATTCCTGGCAAATCCTGTGTCCACCAGAGCCTACAAACACTGGACATCCAAGCCTTGTAACACGAGGGTTACACACCACAGGGCAACAGCGATGGAGAAACCAAATGTGCTGCGCCTATTGGAAGACAGAATCCTGCACCTGGTTGTTGTACACCTTTATTGAGCACAGCAAACACAGCCCGGCACCTCTTGCTGGGCACACAATCTCCAGGTACAAGAAATGGCATTTTTGTGGGTGCTCCTGTCTCAGAACAAAGCATCACACCCCCCCAGGAACACCCTCAGACCTCCCAGCGCTCCTTCAACAAACCATGAGCCCAATTAACAGTTACATTCTGCTTTGTCAAGGCATCTGGGGTGGTGCAGAGGGGAAGAGGCCAGCACAGCTCTCCTGGTGCTACCTGGCAGCCCCACCACGCTCACATTAACCGTGGGAGCTGCCTCCAGGCTCATGTTTCCAGCTATTCACTCAACTCCTCTGCAGCACCTGAAGGAAGCAAAGCACGGCCCAGCTTGGATTTCACCCCCAGAGGTTTCTGTGGGGTGGAAGCCGAGCCAGCACCAGCATTGTGCGGGCAAACATGGGCTGTGCGGGGTCAGCGTAAGGACAGAGCTTTGGAATTGTCTGCTTTAATCCTTAAACAAAACAAGTAAACAAGCTTTGTTAATGCCTCCGTTGTTGTCTGAGCAGTTTCACACCTGTGGGACCCTCCTTGAGCCAGCCAGAAGAATGGAATGAGGAGTGTTCACCAGGACACCGGGCTCACACCAGCCCCCCTCCATCCCAGACAATCCACCCTGTGTCATTAATGGAGAAGTGGGAAGACTTTGATGTGGCTTCTGTAAATGCATCTCAAGCACCTTGAGGTCTTCGAGGAGCCAGCAGAGACTACTTGGGGTTCCACAAGGCAGGGGACAAGGATCCTACCAGCTCCTAGGATGCACTGGAACAAGACTGAGGGTCTCCCCCAGGCAGTTAATCCATTAAAAGGAAAAAGTGGCTCCATAACATATGGGATTGACAGGCAGCTTCATCAGAGCAGAGGGAATGATGATGGCAAGAAGTTATTTAGACAGCCAAAATGGAACTAAATGTAGAGAGCGCCAGGAAAACAGTATTAAAAAAAATAAATTCAAAATCCAGGTAAAAGTGATGCCTATGGAGAAAACAGACACGTTTGCACCATCACACCATCCCTGTTCCTCAGGCGAACCCAACAGTCCTGGATCCAAACCAGCTGACCATTGTGAAGCCCTACACTGCCTTGAGTGACCCCGACTCAGCAGGGTGATGCTTTGGCCAACACGTGCCTTCCAGCTTCAAAACATTCCCCTGATACAGAACCCACTCTAAATCCCCCCACAACTTGTGTTCATGGATCATGATTTTGTGATTAACACGAGAAAGCACCTCTTCCCAGTTTGAACTGCTCAGGCTTTAACCAGTGGCCTTTGTAGGACCACTGTCCTCGAGATCAAAAAGCCTCTGATAGATACAATCTATTTTCCACACCCTTACAGTGCCTGATCCGTTTTAAGACCGATGTTAACCTATGGCTGTGTGGCCTGGCATCTCTATCCTGTAAAATGCAGCTAATCAGAAATTCCTCAGGGATTTTCCTTGGCTCAGATTTACACTCTTCTGCCACACTCATGTCAGGAGAGAATAAACAGAAACTCAACCCCCAAAGCAGCCAAGCAGGAGCAGGGACAGCTGGAGCTGCAGGAGATATCCAAGAGCTCCTTCTTCTGGGAACTCCAGATTTCCCTGGAAATTCCCTGTAAGAGACAAAACCATCAGTGGGAGTGAAAAAAATCCTGTGGAAGACAGACCTCTATGGGGACTTCTGCACCTGGTAAAACTGGGAGTGCCAAAACCTGAGATGCTTCTGCGGTGCCAGGCCCACACCCATGGAGGGGAGGAAGGGACATGAGGCAGCCCCAGCAGGGCTCTCACTCCCAGTTCCTTGGCCTTCATTTTAAAAAGCAGAGTGCAATTCCACATCCAAGAATTTCTTCTACGTGACCTTCTGGGGAACACAGTATTTTCATGCAAGAGAGAAGAAAACCCACAACTCACAGGAGGTTTTAACAGCAGGACCTGATGTATTGCTGCCCTTTTTGAGGGAATTCCAGATGACTAGCTGAGTTGAAGGTTTGGACTGGGAGGCAGTGTCACTGGCACAGCCCTGCCAAAGGGCAGCAGGCACCAGGATACCAGTTTGTTTAGCAGATCCCAAAGCCACAGACCAATGTGCTGAAGGAGCTGGAAAGATTCCCGTCCCAGCACAGGAAGCAAACCTGCGTTGTCTGTGCTGCGAGGAACTGCACAACACATGAAATCAGGGGAAGAGGAAAATATCCTCCTCTGTCCTGAGACAAAGCCAACATTATCCACAAATCCCAAATGCGTAGCTTTTCCCTTTTCATTTCAGGAGAAGAGACCAGATTTATTTGTTTCCCCCCATCTGGTGCACATTCACAGCACATAAGAAGGAGTTTTGTTTCCAGTACATGTGTCAGATCAAGACCTCAGGGAGAAAGAAGAATCTGCATTTCCAGAAGCCACATGTCAGTTCCCATTCCTGGCTCTGCCACACACAGCACAAAAGCGCCAAAACCAACGAGGATTCAATGTAAGCTGTTCACAGGATATACATTCCAAAGGGACAAGTACAAATATTACAAAATGAACAGAATCACTTTTAAAATCCATATATTTGTTTAACCGTTAAAAACAGACACATACAGAAAGAGGTGGCCAAGCAAACAATTCCCTGCTGCTCCAGTTAGTGTTGCCTGCACACACTGGGAACCATCCCACAGAACCAAAGCTCCGGACATCTTTCCTGGCAAGGGCTGGAGACAACTGGCAGATGATTGCTGACTGGGTGAAGGGCTGAGGCAGAGCCACAAGCCCAGGGCAGCTCTTTCACGGTGTCTGGCTTAACGAAAAGGCATTGAGAGAAAAACGTTGTCTGGGGGTTACGTCAGAGAGCGAGAAAGAGAGAGAGCGTGCACAAGGGAGATCACACCAACATCAGGGAACACCGGGAAGTTCCTCTTTCCCTGCCACTGCAAGAGGAAAGTACAACAGGTCTGTGGGTCCTAGATTTAGGACAGAGTTTGGAATTAGGTTGGTCCCATGGATATCAACATCACCTGACAGACTCAGAGCTAAAAGGCAGGCAGGCAGGTTAAGGGCAGCAGAACTCCACGTGTTGCACACACAGACTCTCTCTCACTCCCTCTTTTCAGGCTGTCTGAGGTCCCAGCAAGGCCAGCTCAGGAGCTTTTCCCATCCACCATGTAATAGCGATACATTAAACCTAAGACCAGCGCTCCGAAGATCGGGATTAGCCATGTCGACCAGAAACTAGGGGGAGAGAAAATGAAACAAACCAAAACATACACACCATGGAAACCAGAAGAAAGCATCCAGTTAATAATTCATTCCTTATTACACACCAGAGAACCCCTGGGAGCTATATCCCACAGGGTGACCCCCAAGCCATGGCCAGAGGCTGACCAGGTCCCACTGTTCCTGTGCACAGGCTCTGCAGCCCCCGCGAGAGGCCCAGGCGTGGCCTTGTGCCTTGGAAAACAGCAGCTGGATGGCTCAAGTTTCTAGCTTGGCACATACAGAGAGCAATTTGGGCTTTTTGTTGTTGGTTTGGGTTTTATTTTCCTTAAATAAGTCAGGCTGTAATTTGTGTTGTACAAACAGTGGAGCTGACTCAAGGATGGCTGTGCCACAATAAATCTGCCTCGCTCTGACACCAGGGGCCAAGGGCTCACCCTCAGCACCCTCCTGAGCAAAACCTTCTGCATCAGCTGCAAAAGACCTGTGCTGGTTTTAAGGATTTTCAACTCAATGGGTCTGGTCACAGTAAAATCCTCCATAAAACCACACATCACTGTGTTGTGTCACCCCACGGCTCACAGCGACCACCCAAACAACCCCTGTGGTTACAGGAATGCCACAGCCCTGCAACACCAACACATGGGGCAGAGAATTCCAAACACCAGGATGCTGGTTCTGCCCAGCATGGAGCAGGGGACACATCCCATAAGGGAGCTGCACCCCCGGCAGCTGTTCCTTTGGCAACTTATTTTGGAGTATCTGCTTGCCAGAAGGACACTACAGTACATCCCCAGGGATTTTTCCTGCTCCTTAAGAGTTAATATGCAGTTCTACAAATAGAGTCCCAACCCCTCCAATTCTTACTCTTATTTTGAGGAGATACTATACCTTGTTTGGCCTGAGGATGTCATACTTGGCTTCTGGAGGAAGAAAGAGGGAGTTAGCAGGGAAAAAAAGAAACATTAAACATGTGCTAAAAAGACAAGCCCAAACACAAGCTTACAAATACAGAGGAAAAATAACCCTGCCCTCCCAAACACCCTTTGTCACCAGTGTGGATGTTTTTGGGGATGTTTGCTGTTGTCTTCATCTCCACGTTCTTTCCATCAATCCAACTCCTCTCATTCAGTCACCAACTCCACATTGGAGATTCCACCCCTCCCAAAACAAGGCCTTGCTCATTACATCACAGTTTTGGGGGGGTTTTGTGCTTCTCCCCTATTTGTTTGTACACTACTGATTCTATTTCTTGCTGCCATCTTTAAATTACACTGGGACCTGCTTTTAAAGCAGATTTTGCCTGCTGGAGATCTCTCACCTGTGCATAATGTGCTACACTTACTCCTCAGAAGTGAAAAATACTTGAAAAAAACATTTAACTCAGAGCTACTGGGATCATCACTGACCTCTGTGCACAATTTCGGTGTGTGATTCTGTTTATGAATTGGAGTTGAACCAAACAATCAATTTTAAGGCGAATATGTGCATGATCACACAGCCCCATGTTATAACTAAGCATTTATGCAGCCTGAGTTATTCTTGATTTCCCTGCTGACAGTTCCCTTCTGCATTCCTGCTGCTCTGCAAGTGGCCCTGCTTGGAGCAACATCTCCTGAAAGCCTCACTGAAGGCAGAGCCGAGCCCTGTCCAGGCCTCCCAGCCCAGGCAGCTGTGAGGCACATGTTTACCTCCCAGCTGGGATTCTATTTATTGCCTTTTCCCTCTCCCCATCCCTTCCAAAGGCAGTTTTGCAATGCTGTGCCCTGTTCTAATCCAGGAGTACCTGAGTGTTAAGCAACACCACTGATCCCCGGGGCAGTTAACAGAGAATTCCTGTTTGCCAGCCGTGCCTGGCTCCTGGCTTGAAGGGAACAACAAGAGAACCAACAGTTTCGTGGTCAGGGCACAGCAAGAAATGCAAAAAATGGTCTGTGGCTCAAGGTGTGGAAACAACATCGCCGCTGCCAGCAGAGAAAGGGCACAAAAACCCACTTCCAATTTCACACTGAGGTGCCCGCTGAGCTTCAGAACAAAAACAAAGGTAGAATTTGCTTGGGAGATTTAGTCATGACTGTACTTTGTGTAAACATAAAGCCACAGACTCCACAGGGGAAAAAAGGGGGCAAAAAAACCTCACCAAAAGGCATGTGACATTCAATTAAAGCAGGAAACTGAAACACTGAGAGCTTACCTTGGAACCTTCGTTTTTACGATCCTGCTGTCAGGAGGAAAAAAGAAGATAAAGATAAGCCGGGACTTCAAGGGGAAGCTGCAGCCTTTATGAAGGAATTGTTCTGTACACAGTCCTTAGCACCAGGTAATTGCCTGGGCTCAGTTTTCAAAGGAGGCCGTCCTTCAGTACCCAAAGGCAGGCAGGAAGGAGGTGTTTGTGCCCCTGGGATCTCTCACCTTCCTGAGCTCAGAATTACAAGGCAAAGGGGAGTTGTGGTCCCACCGGCTATGGAGGGAACCCATGAGATCAGGTGAAGTGCCCTTGATTTAACTGAAGTGAGAAATCTGTTCTGAATGGTGGAAGGGAAAGACTAATTTAGTTTTATTTCCCCAACAGAAATTCTAGACTGACTAAATCCCTTAACTACTGACTTATTTCCCTAGTCACCCCTAACACCAGCTGGGCCTTACCGGGTGCACCTCCCCGATGTAGTACTGCTTGAGCATTTCCCTGGCATCCGTGGAATGCCCCACATCTTCAAAGCTCTCTGTGGCATCTCTGCCAGCCTGTTCCAGCAACACCTCTTCTCCACCTGGATGCTGGAAGAGAAGACTCCAGGTGAGCCAAGGGCTGGATGCAGAAAGGCACTGAGAGTGTCAGCAGCCTTCCTCCCAGCCTGTTCTGTTCATCACGGACGCTGCAAACCAACACCATCAATAAAATCTGCCAAAGATTTAACTGTCCCAATGCCTCCTCAGGAATTCAGACACCAGTGGAGGAAAGGATATTCTATTTCTTCAGGTCCTACAAAAATGACAGTATTTGGCTGACAGCCTCTCTCTGCACACAGCTGAGCAACGAGGAATACAGAGGAGCAGAGGAGAAATCACAGCTCTGGTGCAGCCCCAAAAATAATGAACTTGATCCAGTGTGCAACCACCCAATGACATGGGGAGAGGAAATAATGAAGTATCACGAAAATTATACTGTTTGACATCGTACACTGGTTTCAGAGATCCAGAGTTACAACAATCAAATCCACAGAGAGCTCCCCAGAGACACTCCACTGTGTGGGTGGCAGCTGGTCACGGCTGACTCTCAGACCAAGCAGGACAAACTGACATAAACCTGGGTGCACTTCTGTTTCCCTTGATGGGTTGGGCTCTCCTCTAGCACTGTCAATGCCACAGTTCCAGGAACAGCCTGGCAATGGGGAGCACTAACCATAGACTCAGCAAAGGGACAATCCCTTTACAGCCTGAATGTGAACAAACAGTTCTGTGTGAGCTACCAGCTAATCCAGTTACACCAATACAGGGGTCACACGTCCCAGGGCACGCACAGGGACTAACCCAGTTTTCCAGAGTATCAGGGAACAAGCCCCAAACTGGAGAAGAGATGTTGGACTATTTTTCAGATCAAAGGACCAACACACCTGTTTCTCCCTGTAACATCCTTCTCCTTCCCACAGACACAAAGCAGTTGCCATTGCACCTCTTCCTCCAGCTCATCTGGTTTTGCTCCTAGAAGTATGGATATTCCCACCTGGCTATCCCACCTCCTACCAAACACAGTGTGGACACAAACCAGCCCCGTTGTTTACTCTGGGAAGCTACTGGAGCCAATCCTGCCATCCTCATATCAGAGCTCTTTATTCGGAATAAATCCCTTCACTGCCCAGGTATGTCACAGAACCAACGCGGAGCCTTCTCAGGAGCCACAAAGGGCAAAGTCTGCAGTGGGGGGACACAGTTTATTAGCAGGCACACATCAGGTGGCCTTAGCTGGGAAACCAAGTGAGGCTCCACAGCTCGTTCCCTGTGCCTGGCTGCAGTTCTTCCTGCCATTTCTCCCACACCAACCCTCGGGCTCGCTTGATCCCAGAGGAGTTGGATCAGGACTGCTGGATATTGCCTGTGCACAGTGCTCAGAACAACTGTCCAATTTCCACCTAAGATCCACAGAAACCAGGGGATGAAAAGCTGCCCATTTATTTGAGCCTTTCAGGAGAACTCCTTAGGGATGCCTCACCAGAAATCTCGTATTTCAGATGGGAAAATATCAAAACTGAATTTTAAGCAGACAACCTTCCTTTCCCAATCATCCACCCTAAAAGGGCAGCTAAAACCCTGCAGGAACAGAGAACATGAAGTAGATCTTGGCTTTCAGTAACACCCAGTCTATGCACAGACAAGAGACAAGAGGAAGGATAAAGTTCAAGAGAGGAAAACAGTAAAGTTCACTCTTCTTTACATCTTTGGCTCTGAAGTCTTTCTGTGCATGTCCTAAATCCACAGGTAAGAAAAACAATTATTAATTCATGCACCTCTGTCCTTTGCTGCAGTCTCCAAGCCTGAAAGAAAAAGACCTTCAAAGCACATTGGCATCTCCTATTTCTGAAGGCCTCCCCCCTCCAGACAGCGTTGCTTCAACTACACAATTCCTACCTTGTCCTACCCCAGCAAATGTAAACCCAGACTATTTGTACAGGAAGTCATTGACTCTGCCACAAAACTTCCCAAAGCTCCTGCAGGAAAACATGGAAACTGAGAGTGTTGCAAACTATGAAAGAGGAAAAAAAAAATACTTCCAGAGGAAACAATGGCTGGAAAATGTCAGTTTCTGGAAAGAGAGAGCCAAAAGCAAACTGGGAGAGTGAGAGCACACCCCAAACTTCCTGCACAAGGAGAGAGCCTGGAGTTACCCCTCCACACACTCCAAGGCCCTGTCTGGCTGGGAACTGCTGATACAGACCTGCTGCAGACACAAACGAGCTCAGCAGCAGCACTAAGCCTCAGGGCTAATTAGATCACTGTGTCAGGTAAGACACAAGATCACCAGTTGAGGGGGGATGCAGCTTTTATTCCTAGTGCCCACTCTTCCTGACAGTAGGATAAGCCAAGAAAAGGAAGAGTATTTACTCCTGTGCAGTAATAATGTGCCACCACCATACAAGCAAGAATCAAGGGCGAGCAGCCACCTGGACAAATGGTGTTTTTCAGCCACACATCCTTCATAGCTGGTTGAAAGACACGGAGCAGGTTTCCCAAAAAACACCTCTGCAAATCTGGAACAAGTCAGCACGAGCAAACCCCTGGTGTTCCTCCTCCCCCTCCCTCAGAGTCCTGGCTTTGGATACACCAGAGAATGTGGGAACAAAATACAGAAAGACCAAGAAAGGAGTTACAGAATCATGCAATGGTTTGGTTGGAAGGGACCTTAAAGCTCATCCTGTTCCACTCCCTGCCTGAGACAAGGACACTTTCTGCTAGACCAGGCTGCTCCAAGCTCCGTCCAATGTTGGTTTCAATACCATTTTTTCAATATTTTCAGATATAGCTAGGCCAGTAAGGGGATAAGAACATAAAAACCTGCTGCCTCTTTGGTGTGAGAAGCCATCTGCCCCTTCCCTCCTCTCTCCATTCATTGCAATGATAACACCCTCACCTCCAGCTCTTCCCAGCACAGAGCCCCACCTGAACTGTGCCTCCCCACCTGCCTGGAGAGAGAGAACTCCCGTGGAACTGTGTAATTTCAGGGGCAAGCTGTCAGGAGTAGAGTATTTCCTTCTCTTGAGGAACATCATATCTGAGACCAACTGACTGATCTGAGTGAAAGGCATCACAACCCAGGCTCCTTCCACTTGGAAACTGGAAATAGATTCCTGCTCACACTTATCATGGGGATCAGGAGCTGCAGCGTGTGCTGAGACATGCAGCTGGAGGCTGCTGTGTCTTGTGGTCTCAGATAACACACAGAGGGGTTTCCTGGAGAAGCATGGATCCCCAAACTCTTCTAGTCTTGTGTAAAAATGGAGATAAACCACGTCCCTCCACCATAACTGAAAGTAAGCCTACTACAGATTGTGCACAAGTTAAAAGCCCAGATTTTAATATCAGTGTGAAGGCATAAGTGTGAGCACTACAGACCTCAGGGCACCTGCAGAGGCAGAGCTGCCTCCCTCCACCCCTCATTCACCCCTCACCCCCCCGAGCACCCAGCCTCTCCTTGTTTTTCTAGACCACTGCAACCGGGAGTAATCATGCATATCATGGTAGTCCAAGTTACTCAGATTTGGGAGAAAACGTATCTCCACAAGGCTCACTCAGATTTTAAATAATCCAATTGCATTTCAGGCACTCACAGGCTCTCTGAAGTACAGGAGGTTGTATCTCTCAGAAACACGTGACATTTCAGTTGCCATCTCTGCATTTCTCATGTACTTATAATTCAGTAAATTGTGCTATGTGACAAATGTCTTGATTGTTATTCCTACTACACAGTAAATAAAGTCAACTGAAAGTTTAAACTGGTCTACACTTCCAGCAGCACACAGATTTAGGGTTGGCTGACCTGCTGGACTTAAGCTTGCAAGAATCACAAAGCAAGTTTTGATCTTTTAGCTGTGAGGCTTCTTCAGGATTGCACAATCCCCCCAGGAAACGCACCAGTGGGCTCAGCAATCCTGGCCAAATAATCCATGAGCAAAGGCCAGGACAGGCACCCACCAGACGCTGCTGCAGTGAGCACACAGGGCCGAGGGGACACATGACACCGACACTGAGCGCTGCGGTGGCACCACACAGAGCTCTACAGCAGCAGCTCATCACAGAGCTGTAACTTCCAAACGACACAAACACTCCTGGTCCCCATCAGCTGCCCGTTGTTCCCAGCACTCCAGTGGGTAACAGATACAAAGAGGATTTTTGCCAATAAATTAGGCCTTGATCTGCGTTTGCAGTTCCCCTGTGCCAGCGAGGGGGGTGCACAGCCCAGCGTTGTGTCAGCCATGCTGGCACGGCAACAGTGCCCTTATTCTTCTCCCTTTCCCCCGTTCAAGTAGGTCCTTTCATGTCAGAAGAACACAAATGGGGTAAAGGGCCTGGAAAGGGCAAAGTGAAATATCATCTCAAGGTGAAACACCATCTCGAGGTAATGCTCAGGGCACTCCTAAACCTGGTTTGCTGTGGGGGCTTAAGTGTTTTTCTGGGCCCATTTAAATTCCCAGGGTGTCCCAGGGAGCAGGTCCCAGGCTCCATTTTACACAGAGAACACTGAGGTGAAGACTGTGACCTCCTTGCAGTGTCCACGCTCTGAATCACAGCACAGAGCCCAGTGTAAGACAAGACATGCAGCTCCTTCAACTGCTATCTCGACCTCCAGCTCGTGCTGGCTCTTTCTAAACCCTAAACTAGTGTTTTGAAGTGAACTGCTTTTCCACGTTTGCCAGGTCTTCCCCTGAATTTACTTAACCGTCATGCACCCACAACCCCCTCCCACCAAACTGTCCTGCTTCCACCTGGCACATCCCACCAAACTGCCATGCCTGGAGAAAAGGAGGCTCAGGGGGGACCTTCTCACTCTTTCCAACTCCCTGACAGGAGGGTGGAGCCAGGTGGGGGTCGGGCTCTGCTCCCAGGGAACAAGGAACAGGGCAAGGGGAAATGGCCTCAAGCTGTGCCAGGGGAGGTTCAGGTTGGACATCAGGAGGAATTTCTTCAAGAGGGTTGCCCAGGGAGGTGGTGGAGTCCCCATCCCTGGAGGTGTCCAGGGAACGACTGGACGTGGCACTCAGTGATCTGGGCTGGGTGACAAGGTGGGCATCGGTCACAGGTTGGACTCGATGGCCTTGGAGGTCTTTTCCAACCTCAGTGATTCTGTGATTCTGGATCGAAAGAACAAACGAGATTGTGTCCAACTTTATAAATAAATACTGAGAGCTGCACAGCAAGGCACAGACTCCAGCTGCCAGGTGATCCCTCCCTCCTGCCTGCTGCACCTCCACCCCTCAGGAGGCAGCTCTGTCACCACACGCTGTGACTCCACCACAGACAGGCTTCAACCACACATGCCCAGAGGGAAATCAAGAGTTTAATCTAGACCAGCAGAACCAACAAGCTGGAACATGTGCATTTCAATGAAGTGTCTTCAGTCCAACCTTTGTACGTTGCCCTGCAGATGCCACAAAGTGTTTGCTGTTACTTTAAGCTGTGATAAAAACCCTTTGAAATTTTGCTACCATTTCTTTCCACTCTATTTCCAGCTCTCAGCACTCAGGATACCACTCTCAACCATCTCAAAAACAGAACTCAACAGCATCAAAAATATTAGAAAAATATTCTTTAGGAATATTAAGATAATATTAGGAAAAAATTCTTCCCTATGAGGGTGATGAGACCCTGGGACAGGTTGCCCAGAGAAGCTGTGGCTGCCCCATCCCTGGAAGTGTCCAAGGCCAGGTTGGACAGGACTTGGAGCACCCTGGGATAGTAGAAAGCGTCTGTGCCTGTGGGGGTGGGACCAGATGCGCTTTGAGGTCCCTCCCAACCCAAACCAGTCTGGGATTCTGTGATCAAGTCTACAACAAATTTTTGTTCCCACATCCAAAGGAACTGGAGATTTGGCAGAGGCTGCATTTATTCCAAATCCCTGGTGCGTGGTCCCCTCTGGGCAGTAGCTGCTGCATCACCATCCCCTTCTCCTTCGAATTCTGGGGGGTCCCTGCAGACTCCACACCTAAACTACTGATGTGCCCCGATCCTGTTCACCCCACAAGACGTGGAGTAGCTGGAGGGGGGCTGCATCTCCCGGTGACGTGCTCCGAGAGATTTCCTGAGAAACCTGGAATTGCCTCAGAGGAGCAGCAGCACAACGCCAGCCCCCGGCCGGGCTCGGCCTCCGTGGCCTGTCCTCACCCCTGTGCCCGTGGGGGCTTGTGGCCCGTCCTGGGGCAGCGCAGGGACCCACAGCCGGGGTCGGGCGCTGCCTCGGGGACACCGGAACCCCCCGGGCGGGGCCCCTTCCCTTGCACCCCCAGCCCGGGACCTCAGCCCCCCCTCCCTCACCCCCTGCAGCCCCAGCCCGCCCCCTTTCCTCTCGCCACCCCTTGTCCCCCCCGCTCCCCTCAGCCCCCTCCGTCCCCCGAGGGGCCGGGAACCTCCCCGCCCCGCGCGGGGCCTAACCTCCTCCAGGAACCGGGTGACATCGTAGACGCGCCCGTGGATCACCAGCCAGGCCTCGCGGCTGGAGCTGCGCTTCCCCACCTCCTCCAGGGTGAACACGGGCCCGGGCCCGTCCCCTGCCGCCGCCGCGGCCTCCCCGCGCCGCCCGCCCTCCATGCTGCCCACCGGCCCTGCGCGGAACGCGCGACCTGGCCCGCGCCGGCCGCCGTAGCGATGGCGACTGCCCGAGCGGCTCCGGCCGCGCCCGGCGGCCAATGGGGAGCGAACGCTGTGGAGGCGCTGCCAGCGCAGCCAATGGGAACGCGCGACGGCGGGCGCAGGCCAATGGGGAGCGGCCGCGGCGAAGGGCGGGAAACGCCGCGCGAGCCGCGCCTCAGACGACGGGAGCGGCCACGGCGCTCCTGGACGGTACCGGCTCCGAGCCGCCTTGCCGCTCCCGTGCCGCCGGAGAGCGCGGTGCCGTCAGCAGCCCGCCCGCAGCGGTGCCTGCGGTCCGCCCCAGCCTCTGGTAACTCCCCCCGTCCGGCCTGGGGCGGGTGGAGGGAGCTCGGGATCCCTTGGGAAGCCTCTGATCCTGCCGGGGGCCGCCCGAACCGCAGCTCCCTCCCGCAGCCGGTCCTCGGGGTGTCTCCGGGGCGGGGAGGCCGGTGCGGCTCTGCCCAAGGATCAGTTCAAGCCACCTGCAGCAGGTGCGGGGACACAGGCAGCGGCTGTTTGATCGGTGTATGTGATGTGTGCTGGCAGGAATTACCTGCCAGGGTCCACTGGCAGAGCTACAGCTCTCCTCTGATAGGGTTCGGATTCCCGTGGGAACAGCTTTTCCACTGCTCCTTTTGTTTTGGTTCTTCCTGTGTGTGTATAAAAAAGATGTCATCTCACGGGTCTTTAAACTGAGCCAGTGGAGGAGCAGCACATCTACAGCTCCTGATTTTTACCAGTTTCTAAAGCAAAGTTCACATGCAGGTCTGATGTGAGGTGCCGAACAATTCTCCCTCCAGCCACTTTGAACAGGCTCAGGGACCCGAGTAACTTGTGAGCCTGGTGGTTTTCCTTTATGAACTGGCATTTGTGGAATTTATTTCCTTGCCCTTGCAGCACAGGTACAAGGCTGGGCAGTGGGTGTTTGTTTAACAACTGCTGAGGAGGCAGAAACGCTGAGCTGTCAGTGCTAAACTGTGACCAGCACTGGCTTAAGTTAAGGATGTGTGCAGGGAGAGTCTGATGGGCTCCCTGCTGGGCAGGCTGCTAAGATCCCTCTGGATTTTAAAGGGAGCTCAAGTGAAGTGCCTGTACCTGCTGCCACTGAGCTGGGATCTCTGTGGAAATGAGACATCCCTAATGCTGCAGTTCAGGAGATGTGGCAGCTCCAGGATGTTTCCCTATCCGTGCCGTGTGTCCACATCTTGTACAAAGACAGGGTGGCTGCCTGCAGGTCCAGGCTATGTGTCACAAGCCTGCCAGGTCACTCTAGTTGGAGAGAAAGGTATTTTATATTATTGGAGGGAAAGAAATGGCTCCAGTGGTGCCACAGCTTCTCTTGGCAACCTGTGCCAGGGCCTCACCCCCCTGGGTACAGTAGCTGGTTTGCTCCTGCATCCTGGCTTTCCAGGCACAGCAGTGACACAGTTAACGATGGTGGTACCCAAGGAGCTCTCTATGGATTCACTGGGACCAGAACTCTGGCCCTGCTCTCCCTCCCCACCACCAGGCCCAGACACAGGTCCGAGATGTGCTGTGTCTGTGGAGAGCAAAACCTTGGGGGCAGGGGCTGCTGTCCGGCCTGGAGCTCTAGCAGAGCATGGTGACCAGGGCCTCATGACTTTCCTGTCCTGTTTCCCACTGTAACTCATCCAGAAGGATGTGACAGGCACGAGACCGCGGCAACGTGCAGATCCTGTTCCCTGGAAAGTTTTCTTTCATCTGTAATCACTTAATCAAAAGCCATAAATCAGTGAGGGAAGGCTCAAATGCACAAGCATGGCTGCAATTTGTGCTTTCCTGCCCAGTGTTTTGTTTGGCATGTGGAACTCCAAAACTTTTCCTGAAAAAGTGATGATGACACTGCGGGAGGATTTGTGAAACTGAACAGTGAGGCCACTTGCATTCCAGGTCCAATTCCATCATCCCTGCTTCCTTTTCTTTCATTGTAAAAGATTCAGGGAGCAAACCAGTGGGTGTATTTACTCTGGAATTCACCATTCCAGGCTGGTTTTCCACTCTTGGGTGCTGTTAACACACCATTGGCCCAGGCAGGCCCCTGTCACCTCCTCCTGCATCTTGTGACAGAGAAAGAGCAAACCCACTCTGCCCGTGACAATTCCACATGGAAAACCATTTGACCCAAAGCACGGTGCTGTCACCTCCCCTCAGCCCAGGAAGGTGCCGTGGGTATTGCTCCCACATCCTTCTGAACACCCTCCACCACATTCCGAGTTCAGCTGGGCCGTGTCTTGCTCCAACCTCACTCCCCAGGGCAGCCACCCTGCCCCAGGTGACCCTTCTCCCTCCCAGTAATTATTTTTACCTCCCTTTGTTTGCCAATAAAAATCCCTCCCAGTTTTACAGTTTTCCATCTGACACATGGATTTTTCCCTGTGTCCGTTTCCTCCTCCCCTGGCCAGGGTGGAGGGAAGGGAGGATCCCAGATCACCTCATGCCAGAGGAATTTTCACGTGCTTTTCCACCTCAGGTGAGAGCCCCCAGAACAGTGTCAGGATTCCCAGGGCCAAAGAGACACCCCAGAGTGGCAGAGAACTACCCTGTAATCCCAAGGACCTGCTTGCCAGAACCTTCGCCTGCGGGCACCGGTTCTGCTTGGGAATCACTCAGTGGGATCACTGTGAAAATAGGACTTCTGATTTGTTACCCAAACTCTGAGAGACTGTGGGATGGTCTCTGCCCCAAAATCCTGCCCCAGGGACCTGGTTTGCTGTGCCAGGTGAGGTGAGGGGGATTGGCAAGTGGCTGGAGCACAGGGAACAGGAATTTGTGGGAACATCCCTGCTATTCGAAAGACCAGAATAAAGGGAAAACCCCAGATAAAAGTACAAAATAACAATTCCTGTGTAACACTTGGAGGGTTCTGCCACGCTTGCCAATGAAGGTCTGGCTCAAGCTGTAACATCCCGGGTCGGATGTGGTGCTCCCTGTCCCCTGCCCTGAGGTGCAGCCAGTGCAGTGTCTGTCCCCGTTCCTGCCGGGAATGCCGAGCAGCAGCTCCGTGGGGATGGCCCACCCTTCGGAACACACCTGGCTCTGCTCCCCGTGTCCATGCTGGCAGGGTGGCACTGGCTGCTCTGGTGACACGAATTTAACACACCTGGGCCTGGCCAGGTGAGGCTCACTTGGGGGTCTCAGCACTTACAGGTGGGTACTTGCCTGCTGTCGATCCTGCTGGATGGGCAGTGGGACATCCTGAGCCCAAGGGACATGGCTGTGCCCCTTTCCGCAGTTCCCTCCCCGCCCAACAGAGGGCGCCCTGCCCTTCTCGGCGTGGCCGGCGCGGTGCACGCCGGGAGCTGTAGGCGGTGCTGGCGCGGTGCACGCCGGGAGCTGTAGGCCGTGCTGGCGCGGTGCGCCGGGAGCTGTGGGCGGTGCTGGTGGTCGCACGTCCGGTGCGTCAGTTCCTGGCGGGATGGCGGCGCGGCGGGGGCGGGCAGCGCGGCGGGAGCAGTTCCCGGGCCCGCCCGGGATGGCGGCGCTGCGCGAGGAGACCGTGAACGGCTGGGTCCTGCAATTCTACTTCCACCGCGCCATGGAGGCCTATCGCTCCGGGCGCCACCGCGAATTCCGCCAGCTCCGCGATATCATGCAGGGTGCGGGGGGCGGGGTCGGCCCGGGCGGGGGGCGCGGGGCGGCCGCACCGCGCTGCACTGTCCTCACCTGCCTCTCGTCCCACAGCGCTGCTCGTGCGACCCCTGGACAAGGAGCCGGCGGTGGCCCAGATGCTGCGGATAATGCAGCTGCTGTCGCGGGTCGAGGAGGGCGAGAACCTCGGTAGGTGCCTGGCCTTTCTCGCGAGCCCCGCTGCGTGCCCTGGGCTGTGTCCATGCCCCTGCGGCTCCTGGAGCAGTGTCCCTGTGCAGGGCAGAGCTCGGGGCTGTGTCTGTGCCCCTGCGCTGCCCTGAGCCTGTGGGGCTGTGGGGGCTCTCCCTGGGGGTAAGGGGCAGCTGTTCGTGCCTGTCTCTCGCCGCTGGGGCCAAGAGCAGCATCCGTAGTGCTCCAGGGCTGGCTCACACCAGCCTGTTGACTCCTGTTCAGCTTTGGAGCTTCTAAATTGCTCTTATGGGTCAGTGCTGGGCACCTGGGAAGTTCTCAGGTGGTGCTTCCGGAGCTTTCCATGGCTTGGGGAATATCCCCTTTGGGGCAGGGGAAGATTGCTGTTTAGATACTGGGCAGGGCCTCATCTTCAGCCTCAGTAGCCCTGGGATTTGTAAGCAGCCTGTGCAGGTGTAGAGCTCCCACCTGTGCAGGTGTATAACCAGCTCTCTGCAGGGAAGCACCGTGAGCCCTCCCCAACCCCCTGGATGACAATTCTTGTAGATTGTACCTTCGACAAGGAGTCGGAGCTGACCCCGCTTGAGTCGGCCCTCGCTGTCCTGGAGCTCGTCCACAAGGAATTCTCCATGCCAGAGAAGACAATGGAGACTGTGCAGAAAATGGTGAAGGAAGCTGTAAGAACTTTTTCTTCCTCAAGAAATGCTTTGTGCAGCTTTTACCTTGGAAAGGTCCTGTGTGGATGATGGTGGGAGCTTCCTTACTTGTGGGATTCCCTCGTTAGCTACAAACTCGTGTCCACAGTGATGTGTAAGTTGGCTCTGAGCTGTTTCCTTTGCCCTGCTCTAAACTGTCCTTGTTTCCCTCTACAGGCTGTTATTGTCTGCATCAAAAACAAAGAGTTTGATAAAGCTTCCAAAATTGTCAAGAGGCACATGGGGAAGGATCCCAAGAACCAGGTGAGTATGTGTTCAAATAAAGTGGGAGTTGCCTGATGTATCCTGGGTGATGTTTGGGGGGATCTGATGTGCCCTGGGGTGAGGATGCCAAAATGGAAACAGTCCTCCTGGAGTGATGGACCCTCAGTGTTGCACATTTAGACTATCACCTTGGAGCCCCCTGTGTGACTCATTTTTCCTCCATGGGTCTTCCAAGGATCCCCATTTATCCCTTGATGAGCCTCAAACTCGCATCTAGAGCTGGTTCTGGGGGCA